GTAATAGCATTGAGACCTAACTGCATCTGGAGGCCCCAAATGTTATATTTTTCCTTTTTTTAAATGCTGCTTCTATCTGGACTTTGAGGCAGAGATGCTGACCTGCTTGCTGCTGTGACATGATGCAGTCTGTGTCCGATGCGATAGCCCTCATTTATCACAGATCACAACCTGTATTCATTTTTTATTTTTTTAAAAAAAGATTTATTTATTTGTGTACACAAGAGCTGGGGGAGGGTACAGGCCAGAGATGCAGGGGGGTGAGGGGACTCACCAGAGTAGGGAACAGAGTAGGGAACAGAACAGGCAGACCAACCGAAATACACTGCTGAGGGGAGCAGCGGGCAAGTCTGGAGAGGTCTGCTGCTCCATGTGGGTAGCTCCCTGGCCTGCCGGGGAGGCTGGCCACGCTGCAGAGGCTGCCGATTGCTTCGTAGTGCAGTGCTTAACCCCTTGCGCCACCAGGGAGGCCCCGCAGCATGTATTTAATCCTCACATGGAGCTAGTTACTCTACCACTGTAAGATATTCGGTGTGCCTGTGCCTTGGTGATGAACAGGGAGCACCCTGTGTGTGGTCATCAACATCAGGGCCCCTCTTTTTGACCCAGGTGATTGGTGGTGGTCTTGAAACCACGCTGGGTTGTGAGCTCACTGATGAGCTCAGAGCAGAGAACTTACAAATTGCTGCTACTTGCCTTCTCACCCAATTCCTCAGTTATTTAGGGTATGGTAGATGGGTACGTGCATTCTATATAAATTTAACAGAAAGATGGTATTAACCCAAAGCTTTTGGGTGTTAACCCAAAGCTCTGTTAGGTTCTTATGAAAGTACTACTGTGGGATATTGTGCAACCTCAAGATTTCTAGAAAATGCGAATCATGTGATAACAGCACTTGTCTGCCTTCTAATAGCTCTCATGCTCAAGGATAACTGTGAGTGATCACTGATGAATTTTATAAGTATTGGAAGATGGAACAAGAAAAGATAAAAGAAAAAAGCAAAGGGAGAAGGAGGTTAGTTTGTGATTGAAATACATAAATGATAATGCAGAATTGAAAGAGGATGGATTTTTTTTTTAAATAAAGGAAACTTGAAATGAGTACTAACTTCTCCAAGAAATGAAGTCACTTTTCCAAAAAGCAAATATAATAAGTAGAAAGGAATCATGCAATTAAATATGCCACAGGATAACCTCAAGTTATTTTTCAAAGCAAACCGTGAATATTTCCAGATACTACTAAGCTTAGAAAATAGATCTATGATCTAATTTTCCCCTACACACATAATTTCATTAAAAATGAGCAGGAAGGGGTATTAAATGAATTATCAATTTACTTTCCTATTTCATTAACCATCTCTGAAGTTCTATATTTAGCTGTTTGGGACTTCTTTTTTCTCAAGCAAAAGAATGGATGGTTCTCTCCTATGTTTGTCATGTGAGATCGGTGTGACTGGTAGTCCTGTTACTGGCAAACTGGCCATCTTGCTTCATTTTCTTCTATCGTCCCTGGTTGGGATTCTTCCAAGTGGTAGCTACACTGATGAGCCAGAAGCCCCTTTGAAAAATCTGGGCTTGTGACTAGCTCTGGCTGTTAGAAGACATGATGGTTTCTCCCACTCAGTCCTGAGTGTCACTAACACACCCTTAGGTACTGAAGTGTCAATTTCACTCAGAGGTTAGAAATGGGGTGGGAATTTGGGAATAAGACTGGAGATCATGATGAGCTGACTTGATATCCTTTGACCTTCAGGACTGATCTTGGGATTCAGTGACTTTTATTGTGTTCTTTTAAAATAGTTTTCAAAAATTAATATGACTGGCATTCCCCATTGAGTTTTCATGTAATAATTGTGCTTGCTCTGGTTTTTCAATAAGTACTGAATTTAAATTCTTAAAGTATAAGCAATGAAATGCTTTACAATATAATTTAATCTTAGGTATTACTTTTAAAAGATTTTCTTATCATTACCAGGAAAATGTTTGAAATTTTATTTCAAAAAGTTGGGGGTTTTTGATATTAACATTAACTGAAAAGTGGCCTATTTGGCATTTATTAATGGGACATATTGCTAAATATTTTGTCAAAATTATATCCCTTATGCAACTTTAGGGATTCACATGTTCACATACCTAAAATTAGAGCAGACTGTAGTTTCTGTGTCTTCGCCAGCTTAGTCAAATTCCCAAACATTTTATACCCCAATTTTAAAAGGATTATGTTAAGACAAATTTTAAAAAAAATGTGAATACTGTAAGGCTATTTTGCCTTTTACAACAGTGGCAGGGTAAAAATATCTGTATGTCTGTATCTGCTTGTCTTCCCAGTCAATTTAAAATCAAATGGCCGGGGTACATGGACCCAATTTCATAGAAACAGTGTGCGTGTTAGTTTTCAAATGCACACAACTTCAATAAATGTATTTTTTATGCTGAAGAGAGAAAATTGCTTTATTCACTGTATTATTTTTACTTGCATTGTAAGAGATTAAAAAAAAAGCCTTTGTGCAGATTTGCCTTTAGTTTTCTAGAAATATGAGAGTGATTTTGAATTGGGTTTTTAGTGCTTCTGTGTGTTCTATTTGAAGAGTTTTTTTCTCTAGAAATGACCAGCTTTGTCAGAAGAAACAGTAGTTAATAGTTGAGCTGAAATTTCCCTCCCGAGTGGTGCCATTTGACTGTTACAATGTCTGAGACTAGTAAATGATATATTTTTTTTAAATTAACAAGTGAACTCATTGCTGGCATCTGCCTTTGAGAAGGCTTGGCACAGTGCTGGCCTGACTTGGCTAGTGCTTGCTCTAGCTGTGAAATATAATTAACTGCTGATGAGAATATAAAAAGTATCTGACTTACAAGCTGCCATTTTTGCGTCCTGGTATGGGAATCAAATCCAACTACCTCAGTTCTTGCAACACAGCAAACTTAAAAATGCAAAAGCTACTTCGCTTACAACCAGGACTGCTGCTCAGAGCTGACGAACAGTTAGAAGGAGAATGTGATACGGTCTGCTCTGTATGAATTACTCTGTTAGTATTATGATAACACTGGCTGCCCTGCCCTACCTCCCTCAGCTCCGGAGATTTATACTGTAGTTTAAGAGAGAGGGAAAGGTTTAGGCCTTAGGCGATCTATGCTTTGGAAGTATTGGAGTGTCTGAAGCACCTTTTTGTCCCTCGCAGATCCCATACTTGACGGCTTAAAATGTCAAATTTCCTTCTAGATATGCACAGCGATATAGTTTCAATTTAGGGAAAGTTATTTATTTGTGGACTTGATTTTACCTTTGAGCCAACTTCAGGAAAGAATGACGGCCCAGGTGTATTACAACCTGCTTTTCTCATTATCTTGTAACATTTCTTTCTGAAGCTTCATAGGGACAGCTGCAAGTAGGTTAATTGTGTGCATCCGTATGCGCAGCGTATGGCTGGGATGGAGCAGTCCTGGTGAGAGAAGTCGAGCCGTCTGCTCCCACAGCCCTGACCTCAGCCGGGCTGGCCACGCAGTCAGTCTTGTGCTAATAGCTATGGTGAACAGAACACACTATTGCTCCTCTAGTGTAAAAAAGAATTGACATTTACTTATAGAGAAAAATGAATGCAAGATTTTTTAACAGTGAACATAATTTTCAAGTCTTGAAAAGGGTTTCAACCCTTGAAAAGAAAAAGGGATGGAAGACAGATTTTTGGTAGACAGAAGAGGGTTGGAGAGCAGTGCATGAAGTCGGTGACAGTTGAAGATGTGGAACACCTGGACCTCCCCTGGTGGCGCAGTGGTTGAGTGCTGGGCTGCGAAGTTGCCTGCAGCCTCTGCAGCGCCGGTTCAATCCCCAGCCCACGGCAAGGATCCCACATGGTACGCAGACCTCTCTTGCCGTGCCCGCTGCTCCCCTCAGCAGTGTATTTTGTCAGTCTGCCTGTTCTGCTCCCACTCTGGCTCTGGTGAATTCTCTCACCCTCCTGTGCTCCTGACTATACCCGGTGCTTGTATAAATAAATAAATAAAGCTTTAAAAAAAAAATGTGGAACATCCGTGTGAAGACTGGATTACATAGTTTAACCAATAAATGAAAATAGTTTTCATTCTCTTATTTTTCAATGTCTTGCTTCCAGTGAAAGTTTAGCCACCCCAAGAGATGTGGGTCACTGGGAAGAGCTTTTCACCTATGAGGACATATTGAGGGGGAGATAGGTGACTTATGCAAAGATAAATAGCACAGAAAGCAATAGGTACATTCGCCTAGAGTAGACAGTCTTTTCAATTCAGAAGAGAGAAGGATTTGTCGCAGCGCGTTAACAGCAGAAGTCTAACTCATTGGAAGATTTAAAGGCATGCTAACTTGAGGAGGTGGTAGATCACTTTATTAAAAGTCCTAGCTGTGCTTTTGGACTGATGAGTCTGGTGACTTGAATTTGGAAGTAGAATAATCAATACTGTTTTGGCAAGTTGGCCAAGGAGTGCCTTGTGGGAATTTCCTGAAGAAAATAAAAAAAAAGTGGGGGGTGCAGAGTCAGGAGACCATTTCAGAGCATGCTGTATGACCCTGCCTGCTGGCCACTCTGAGCAAAGCTGAGTCACTGAGGACTTGGGCAAGGGTGACTGCCAAGGGGGAAGGAAGGAAGAGACTCCAGGCAGGATTGCTGGAACCTGGTGGCTTTGGATATATGGATGTATGTTGTAACAACCATTAGCATATTTAGTCATTACCTGGCATTGTGTGGATGGTTTTTTCCTTTCATTTAGTCTTTGCAACCATTTTGTAAGGTACACATACTATTATCATCTCAAGCTAATTAATTACACAGTTAATAATGATCACAATGTAAACCTTGGGTCTTTCTGAACCCTTGCTGCAAAATACTAACCTAGCAGAGGCTCAAATGAAGAATGATGATACAGTTTTTACCTAGGAGACAGCTGCTTATTAGAAATCTCGGTTAATGTTGAGCTCTGGCACGTATGCATAACTCAGACATTCCTCTCTTTTTCTTTTTTTGTAGTACGACTTCATGACAGCATATCAGAAGAAGGCTTCCACTACTTGGTCTTTGACCTGTAAGTATAACACACTTTGTCCTCATTTATATTTGCTATCTATTTGAAGACCATTTTGAATTTACCAGGATTTTTTTCATTGCGCAGTCCAAATTAATGACCCTATGCATTTTTTTTAGAAACCTATAATGTTTTAAATGCCTTTTAAATAACTTACCCTTAATTCTTTTGAAGCTGCATCTATTTAAAATTAAGTTAATGATCATAAGTGAAACAAAATTGAGTCTCCTTTTGCATTGTTCTTTGTGATATCTTAAATATGTTCTTTGCATCGTCTTGGTATACAGAGGTGACACAAACATAATTATCCATTGGACATTTTGAAGAGGATGTATAATTCACTGCATAATGAGACTCAAGAAAGGGCCCTTGTTAATTCATTAGTTTAACAGAATCATCCAAGTCCTGTCTTTACCCCCAACTCATCGGCTTTATTCTCAGACAGTATGGTAAAGCTGTTACTTATCAACATGGTAATGGCCAGTGGAAGACATTGTCTCTTGTTTCTTTTTAGAACGAAAATTTTAACAGTAAACCTCTCTTGTTCTCATTGGTACTGGGACTGGTTCACATTTCTACCCCCAACCTATCACTAGCAAGGGGAATGAGATTTTCAAGATGGATTGAAAGTAATTAGCATGTATAAACTGAGGTTCTGTCATCAAGAATGAAGCAAAAGTAAGGAGTCTTGCTGAGCAAAGCACAGCACTGACTGGCTGGGGCAGGGGAGGTGGTATTAATAGTGAGAAAGGCTGCGCGCACGCCAAGTGAGGTCTACAAAGAACAGGCTTCTTGCAGATCACTCTGACACTATATATCAAGTGTCCATATTATTTGAAAGATACTCATTGCCTTGTCCTTTATAATTGGGGAAAAGGAGGTGTGGAGAAAGAAAAGAAAATCATATTAGGGATCTAATAATAGATAAACTGCTGTCTAATTACCATATATTCATAAATGAGACTGCTAGCTAGCATTTTCATGTGGTGCTTAGGACTAGATTTTAAAAAATGTTATTTATTCTAATATGAGTCTAAAGTTAGGTTAGTTCTAGGTTTGGCTAACACAGGTCTTCAGTGATGTCATTAAGAAACCAAGGTCATTCCATTTTTCTATCTGGTCTTTGTAGCATAGGGGTGGTGGTTCTTCATGTTCAAGTTTCCCTTATGTTCTCAAGTTGGCAGCTTCATCTTCAGTATTACAGCGACTTCCGAAGATAGAAAAAAGTCTTCAATTAATTACCTTTTCATATATTTTTACCTATAGAGAAAATCTTTCCCAGCATTTTCTCAGGAGATAGCTGTTGCTAAGCCCTATTTAAATTTGCTTCTCATAGCCTTGTCTAAGCCAAGAATCAGTAAAGGGAATGCATTAAATAACTGATTTTGGTCCATCTCAACTTCAGTTTGTAGGCCAGGGAGGAACCTGGCTTCCCCTGACTCCTATGCAGACTTGCTTAAGAACTAAGTCATGGTTTTGTTGTCAAGAAAGAAGAGCAATGTTGCCAAGCACGTCTGCCATATTGGTGATCTTTGTGTGTGCTGGAGACTGGAGGCCAAAGGTCTCTACTCACACAGTCCTTCCCTGCTATTTCACTGGAGCGTGACACCCCGCCCTGGTCCTTGCGCAGAGTACCCAGCCAATGTTCTTGCTTGTTTGCTCATATTCCAAGATGCCTTCTTTTGTGTTTCTCTTTCCTGTTTAAGAATTTCCTTGTCTAGCAACAAATTCTTAGTTTCATTTTTTTCTAAGAATGTCTTGATTTCCTCCCCTTCATGCTTGAAGGGTTTTTGATCAGATTGATAGACTTCTTGATTGACAATTCTTGTTTTTTGTTTTTGTTTTTGTTTTTTTTGTCAATGGTGTACCACTCTTTTCTAGATTCTTGGTTTTGGGTGAAAAATACTCCCTTTTTCTAATTCTCTCCTAAAAGCAAGGTGTCATTTATCCCTGGCTACTTTAAAGAGTTTCCCTGTGTCTATAGTTTTTAGGAGTTTGAATATAATGTATTTAGACTTGGATTTTTTTGAATTTCTCTTGAATATAGAGATTTATGTCTTCTGCCAAACTTGGGAAAGTTTGTTTTTTTTTTGTTTGTTTGTTTTGTTTGAACATATTTCTTTCTTTCTATTTTATTTTATTTATTTTTAATATAATTTTTTTTATTTTTATATTCCCCATACAATTGTGACCCCCTTATTTTGACCCCAATCAGAGTATCTCTGGTTCATAGTTGTTTGTTGATTTTGATTTTTACTTTGTTATAGTTACTCTTTTTCCTGGTCCCTTATTTAAGTTTTCTAGATTCCTGCTATGAGACCATCCAGTATTTTTCTTTTTCTTTGTGGCTTATTTTGCTGAGCATGATCCCTTCCAGCGCCATCGATACAGAGCTGTGTGGAGATTTCTGGACCTACTAAACATAGAGCTTCCATATGATCCAGCAATTCCATTCCTAGGTATTTACCCAAAGGACACAGAAATATCCATTCCAAAGAGCACCTGCACCCCTATGTTTATAGCAGCACTGTTTACAATAGCTAAGCTTTGGAAACAACTTGGGAAAGTTTTAATCACTTTCTTTGGATACATTTCACCAGCCTTACCTTCTCTTTCCCCTCCTTCTGCAGCTCTGATGACATGGTTATAAGATCTTTTGTTCATTAGAGTCTCATTAGTCCCTAAGGCACTGTTCATTTTTTTTTTTTTCATTTCATTTCATTTATGTTATTGAGATTAGGTAATTTATATTGTTCACATCAGGTTCACTGAGCCTCTCCTCATTTTTTTTTTCATTCTGATGTTGAGCTTATCCATTAAGTTTTATATCCCAGTCACTGTACTTTTTTCCAGTTCTACTACTGAGTTTTGGTTCTTTCATAAATCATATTTCCTATTTTTGTTATTTTTTAAAAGTGTTATTTTTTAAAGTGTATTTTTTTGTGGGAGGTAATGTTGGTTTACATGATTTAGAGGCTATGATGTAAAGGGCCCACGGTCCTCCATCATAACCCTCCACCATATTCCACTGGTGGACGGCTGTAGTTCCCATTGTCTCTCTCTGGTAGCCTTAATTCTGTAGTCCTATTTCTAGGGTATGTTTTCATTTAGATGTCCTTTTTTTTCCCATTGGTTTCAGTTCAATTGCTCATTAAAGTACATTTACTGTGACTGCTTACCAGTCAGTGTCAGGTAATCTAGCTGTACTGTATGCTTGCTGTTGGTATCTGCACCTTGTCTTTCCTCATCCATGTTACGATTTTCCTGTTTCATGATAGGATGCATGATCTTGGGTCATATCCTGTGCATTGTGGGTATTACTGTATGATGCCCTGGGTTTAATTTAAAGTGTCTTTTTATTTTTTTAAAGATTGATTGATTGATTGAGTTATACAAGGATGGGGTATAGGCCAGATGCATGGGAGGGTGAGAGGATTCACCAGAGACAGAGCGGGGAACAGAACAGGCAGACTGATGAAATACACTGCTGAGGGGAGCAGTGGGCGAGACAGGAGAGGTCTGCTGTGCCATGTGGGTATCTCCCTGGCCGGCTGGGAATCAAACCTGCACTTCAGAGGCAGTGGACAACTTCACAGCACTGAGCTCAATCGCTGCGCCACCAGGAGAGTCCCTAAAGCATCTTTTTATCAGACCTTCTCTGCCCTCACAGTGGCGGGGTAAAGAGTTGCCATGTTGTGATTGACAACTCAGGCTTCCCCCTCAGTCTCCAGTGCCACCCCAGGGGAAGCCTCTTTCCTGCTGGGATCACGGGAATTGTTGTGCTGTATTTTGTGAAAGAAATGATTTAATTTGTCAGGTTCTCTTTTGCATGGGGCTACTAACTTGGATATATCCTTCATGTTTTATTTGATTTTTATCTTTCCTGCTTTTGTGAGTGTTGGAGTGGAAGACATTCTGATAATGTTCATTCCCTGAAGACCACAGCTCAGTCATAGTTGTGTGAGACAGAAAAAAGCTTTTCCTCAACCCTCTTCTGTTCAGTATCTAAAGATGTGATTTAGAATAACAAGTTAATAGACGAAGAGGCGCACGACTTTGACTGGTATTTGTGCTGGGGAGTCATGGAAAATAAGTGAAACTAAAAGAAGCACTTTGTCTCAGGGCTTTGCTCTTGTCTTCAACGATAAGATTCCTTATTCTTTCCCTGGTATGTGGAACAGACACCTTCCTCAAAGGGAAATTTCTGTCCTGCTTTTACACAGATAAGATGGGGGCAGAGAATTCTTCCTGTATCAGTTGATACTCAATTGCTTTAAGCTCAAAATAATCTTATGCCAAATTCGCATGTTTTGGTGTGGCATTTTCTGATGTCTGCCCTTCTTTTTCCCCCTTCAGTTTATTTTATTTTTACATCATTGTTCATTTTTGTATAATGTTTGTTTTCTCCCCTCATGTGTAACTTACCTAGGAGCACTTCAGTTTTAAGTCGTAACACTGAGGGGATGTGCTGTCTTCCTGTGCCAGCCACTTTGCCCATCATAAGTTATTTACACGCACCTTTAAAATTTTATAGATGCCTATATTCCTTATTTATGTGGGGGAAGTGATAAGGATTCCATATTTTATTTAAAGATTTTATTTATTTTTGCATAGAAGAGCTAGGGTGTAGGCCAGAGGACCAGGGGTGAGAGGATTCACCAGAGACAGAGTGGGGGACAGAACAGGCAGACGGACTGAAATACACTGCTGAGGGGAGCAGCGGGCAAGACAGGAGAGGTCTGTTGTGCCATATGTGGGTTAGCTCCGTGGCTGGGGATTGAACTCAGGCCATCAAGATGATAATAGTGCTGAGACTTAACCCCTAGGCCACCAGGAAGGCCCAATTCCATATTTTAGAATAAAGTTTATTTTCTCAAGCATGTTTTCTATTAAGCACTTAATCATTAGCAAAGAACATAGAAAGCTGTTCTTGTGGAAATAAAATAAGACTTTCATTTACAGTGGCCCATGTCTGTAGCAATGATAGTTGTGTGATTAAT